CCTCCTGCGACAGGAGCGTGCGGCGCCTCAGTGGGCCCCAATGTCTTTTTCTCAGGCACCATGTGGATTTGGATGGGATGGATGGCATGTTCGGGTGCCAATGACCACATTTTGTGAGTCTGGATATGTGCAAGTCGCAAGAGGCAATCTTCCCATTCGTGAACTAGCTGACCCCTCGCATGAGACAAGGAAGTGGCCCGACCGGATTTCACTTGTCGTAATCACCTGGGAGGAGGCGAGGTGTTTTCCAGTCTCCCAGAACTTCCGTTTTGACCGCTCGTCCCGAGCGAGTTCGGTCGCACAGCGAGGTGAAGCCGAGCGTGAGGCAGAGGGACCGGTGACGAGCCATAGCGATCGTAGCGATGCCACGGTATTTTTTGGGGGGAACTGTGCCATCAAGAACATGGTGGTATGATGTGAGGATATGTGAGGTGGGTGAGGCTTGTCACCACTTGTTTGCAGTGTCCGAGAGTTGCAAGCACTACATACAGTGGGTCTGAAATTGCCAGGGCTGACGGCTGACAAGTCCTGCGGTGGACATTTGTCAGTATATTCATAGTATATCTCACACCGCTCAATGCCATCAATGTTCACCAAAAAGGGGCAACTTCAAGACCAATCACACGGCCGCAACGACTAGTTGGGTTTGATATGGTGTACAGTGTATTCGCAGCTAAACTTGCAGACAGCAATGGCCAAGGCAGGGCATAAGAACAGGCCTTGGAAGCGGTGCAGCGTTGGCTCCGCACCGGGATGTGTTGCAAGTTTGCCTGACTGGGTAGTCATAGTTCAGCACCACCTTCTGGGTGAAGGATGGTTCCTGCTTGAGATTCAGCAAGCCAGGAGGGATTGCCCAGTGGCATGCAGTTGGCCTCGCTCAACATTGCACCCCGGCAGAGGTACTTCTGCTTATCCAAAGAGGTATGTTATTGGAGGGAAGGGGTGTCATCCACTTGTTTGGTCTAAGACTTAAGAACTGCCCTTGAAACTCAAGTCAAGGTTGCCAGCTAAAATCAGGCAAAGGTGCAAAGGTATGCAAAGGTGCTATACTTTTGAATCTTTTGACCTTCATTTTCCTACTTGATCCTATTTGGAACGTCCAAGCCTTTGGGCACCAGCACTGCTAGGACCCTAAGTCGTCTTTCCTACAGGGTGAGACCAGTGCAACAATGGGCTGCATGAGTCATCATGAGTGGACAAGGGTGTGGAAACACGGAACGCAATTCAGTGATTGGATTAGGTCACTGGTCACTGGCAGTGAACCTTCTTCTACCTTCTGGTTGGCTTAACAAGCGTCACCGACTGTATGATTTGGCATGAAGCAGCAGATGCACCGTCCTTTCCGTAGCGCCCCCTGGCTCCAGGTTTGCTTCCCCCAAACGAGTTCCAACACCGCCATCCTGAAGAACGCCCCGTTCAGAACGCCATGGGGCGATGAGGCTGGGAATTCGCAGCTCCACTTTCGAGATCGGCTTCTGTTAGATTCTTTGCCCAAGTCCTTGGCCATGTCCGGCGCCCAGTTTTGCGACGCGACGCGGAGATGGGGACGGCGGATCGTTGGAGGTTGTCACACTTGGGTGTGAGTTCAAAGAATTCTCGGAGGTTGAGACACGATAGAGAAAGATTGGGAACATGTCTCCCTTGTTAGCTTGCCATATGGTTCGATAGGTGGGCGTGGACCATTTTTGCCAGGTACTTGTTGATGGCACACTCCTCCCATAAGATTTTTGCACCTTGTTCTTCCTTCATATTCTTATGAGACACCACTGTGGCCCCAAAGGTGCAAAGTGGGTCAAACATCCCAAGCGGGATCACACATCCGAAGAGGTGATGGATCCGAGGGGGTATCCACCGACAAAAGGCGGCGGTGAGAATAGACACGAGGATGTCGAATTCTGGTGGCGTTGACCTTCATGGACCCTCTACCTTCCCCCCATCTCCTCAATGTACTGGTCTGCAAAAGGAACCAGTCTCAGACCTTGGGCCCGCATTTGTCCAGCCCGGCGGGGCCTCAGGACCTCCCTCACTGCTTTGGACATCTCCTTCGCTCCGCTGAATGGGAGGGTGGCGATCAGTGACCTCCTCAGCCGCGGCACAAGGGAAATGTAGCTTACCATGCATAGCTTACCCATACGCTCATACACTCCGAGCAGACCCCTAACGTTGGGAGGGACGGGTCAAACGCCGCGGAGGCTTGGCGAAGGCGCTGTCCGAGTCGTGCCTGGGCTTGACCAGCCGGGCACCCATCAGCTGCAGAATGGTATGGAGGGTGTTCGGGCGATCCCTTGCGTAGATTTGGTATTTTTGTTATTGGTCCTTTTTAAACAGATATCAGATATCCATTTACTGTAAAGGATGGTGTATATATCCAGCTTGAATCTAGGCTCGTTTCTTTCATTGTGAGGATTCAGGTGAGTCAGCGCTTGGGCCGGCCTAGTCAGTTGAAACCACTGTTGAGAAGCAGTAGGAACGCACCACCTCGGCAGGAACGCAAACTCTTCAGCCGTGCTGAAGCAGAGTGTTTTCTTGGTGAAAAAAAGGGTCGATCTTTCAGGTCCGATCCCCAAAGGTCTATGACGGTCCGTCGGTCTTCGTTGCTTCCCCCAGCCGGTCCGTTCCTTCGCCTTCAGGCCTGTCCTTGGCTGGATGCGGTCTTGGCTCCTGTGGGCAAGCTGCCTTGGCCTCGGCTGGAGGTATCACCTCCATGGCACACGAAGACCAACGGAAGCGGAGTCAAAACCACCAGTCCTTCGGGCTTCGGATTTTGTTCGGTCACTCACCAGTTCAGGGAGATGGACCTGGGCATAGGATCCGCCCTTTCCGGGAGTTCGCGAGTTCGAGCAGAGGGTCCCAGATCCTGTTGAGGGGTGCCGGATCGTATATGATTGACATCCGGGAAGAGACCCACATGGAACCTGAAATTGGACACCTTTGGAAGGCTATTCTTCCTCTACAACCTACTGGTTCTCAGGTCTTATCTTCCAGGGCGTGCCAGCCTGCAAACTAACATGGACCCTGAAAATTGATCCGTGGAGAACCGGAATTTGAGAGGGAAAAGAAATGAACATCTAGGGGGCAAACAGCATGAGTTGTCTTAAGATGTCTTAAACTGAGGGAAGCCCCATTCCACCCCTGGGTGTGACCAGTGTCGCCCGGTGGAACAACCACCCCTCCTGATCCCCGCAAGCCAGATTTGAGTCCAAAAAGGCTTCAAGAACGTCTCTTCGCATCTCTTCGCTCTTAGGCTCGGGGATTTGTACAAGTTAGGTCTCTCCATGTCAGATGCTCCGTCCGGCCCGCCCATCCGCGAGCAGTAGCCACCCGAGGACTGTGTGGCTGTCGCAGGGCTTTTAGGCGCCAAGGAGGCGGCCCAGGGTTAGGACCGACAGCAGTCGGAACGTGCCAAACCATTGCTCGGTGTCCGGATGGGGGTCGTGGCAAGTAAGCAGAGGGGTTTCGCCCAACGAGAAAGTAAACAAGGCACCTGACGAGCTTTCTCGGGTTCTGTTGGAGTCTTCAACAACGCGTGATGCGTGGAAGTATGACAGCCAAACATGTCATGTCGAAGGACCACAGGGGTGCTTGTGTAGGTTATGCACGTGTACAACTAGAGCCGATCAGTTCCCCACTTCAAGAGCCGATCAATCTTCAGGAAGGATCTTGTTGTGAGGGTGCCACAAGAGTCCGATTCGCAGCCTGCGGGTCAAACGGAGCATGCGCGAAACATCTGACGGACGATTCTTGATGAGGACATTGTGACATTTGTCATTCTTTCATGTGCCACCCATGCACTTCATACATTTCCACACTCCAGTTTTGCCAAGACAAGATGGCACTGCCAAGAGGCAGTTTGGGATCTCAAGTCACAGTTGACCTGCTGATGGCGCCAGCTCATCGACCATTACTGCGGACGTGCTTGGGCTGCAGATCATCAAATCAAACACTGTAAATCACCTCAGGGAATGGACGTGGCCACCAAATGACCTCTTTCCAAGAGGACATCCGCTCTTTTGGATTCAGAGTGATTGGGACGGATTGAGAGCAGTCTGGCTACATAAGCAGACGTTCAGCAGCCTGCATACACCCAATGCTTCTTTGGCTGTGCTAGGAGGGGAAACGCCCCCTTTTTTGAGCATCACGTCTGCCAAAAGAAGGGAAGTCGGCCCATTTTGTTCAATCGTTGGGTGTAAATGGATCCCACTCCAGACACCCTGGACCGACACCAAAATTGGGAGACGCCCCACAGGAAACGAAGAGGTGGAGTGCGTTCGGTCAAGAAAGACCCCCCAAGACATGGAAAAGTGGATCCCGCTAAGAATGTATTGGAAACCGTGCCACTATCTATTTGGGGACCCGATCTTTGATCTTCCAGGGGAACTGTTCGGGATTCAGGTCGTGAGCCCACCAGGGCTGGTGGCCAGTGAAGGTCGCTGATGCTCACAGAAGAAGACTGGTCAGAGAGAGAGAGAGAGAGAGACAGACCTGAGGCCTGCGGCTTTCGGTTTTTCAGGGTGTTTTGGATGGTCAACTGCTCTGGCCTCTGCTTGGTCCTCATGTTGTCAACCGATCCATCAACGTACCCTACAAGAGTTTGACGTCCCGAAATCTACGGTCTTCACATGTCTTCACCACATGGTACCCTCCCCAGTGGCCCAGTGGTACCCTATGGAACATCAAGATCATCAAAATGTAGACATGCCGCATGTTTGTATTTGTGTATGCTATACCGTTGATGATGTAGTTTTGGGATATATGATATGTCCCGCCTTTGACCCTTAATGTCAATATTGGCCCGTGTGGTCCTGCCGGAAGATGAACGTTTGTGAATGTCCGACAGCTCACACCACCAACGACAAACACACGACAACATTGAACTTACTGTAATTCAATGATATATAACTTATATAAGTCTTGAGTAGTAGATTATGCTCTTATGTGCCACCTAGCGCATCATGTCCGCCTCGTTCCTGGTGGATCCAACTCCCAGCGCTCGCAGAGGCATGTCACGAGCCCTCGACTGGCAGACCCCTGCAGCAGCGCAGTGCATCGGCACAGGAGTGGGCCGAGCTGGCCTGGGGATGGGGAAGCTCTGGGAAGCTCGTCCCGTTCGCACGGCTGTTGAATGCAACGGCCTCGCGGCGGCTTCGCGGCCAGCAAGATATACAAAGGATTGGGCAAGAGATGTGGTTTGGGCTGTCCATCACTCATCAAGATCTATAAGGATAATTAATGATCTATATATTTTATATGTACACACTTGTGCACTTGTTACATTTTTGGAAAGCAACATATAAGTGTCAATAAGAGTTTCGTCAGGAGCGACCTGGCGATGGCTCTTGTGGAACTTGGAGCTCTTCCACCACACACGGCTCAGGTGGTACACCGGTCCGGTGGTCTGGGACGTGCGCGGCCGGCCGGCCAGAGCTTTGGTAGTTCGTTTCCTGGTTCTTTGTGCGGAACGTGGTTGGTTCTCGTAGATTAGGATGTGTTGGTGCAGCACCTGGCAGACCTAGCCGCAACAGGATGTACCGTTTGCGATTTGTTTCCAGCAGTTTCACCATAGAAGTGTTCTTGTAGTTGTTTTTGTTGTTGTTTTGATGTGTTCCTTTTCAGGTTTCTTTTTTGATCTTGTTGTTACCGTTGAATCAACGTGTTGATTTTGTAGATTGCCTTTCCTGTGCATCTCTTTCGCTATTGAAGGTGTTACCTTTATTTTTGTATTCTTTTTCAACTGGCAGTTTTGGAGCTCTTTTTGGCAATAGGCTTTCTGAGACTAAGGGCGCTAGCACCAGAGTAGCACAGACTGGGGCAAGCATCGGCTGGGATCTAACGCCATATTGTTTCAGGTGTAATGATGCAGTGCGAGAATTAGGATGGCTTTGACCCACAGGCCCACAGAGATTCAACTTCAAGTGTTCGTTGCACCAGGTGCGATGGCAAGACATACCAGCTCGCCATGGACTCTGCAAGCAGCCAGCGATGGAAAGTAGTCCATATGCTGATGGAGACCATGGCGATTTCCAACCTTCAACTGAACAAGTTCCACTACACTTCGCTGGTGCCTTTGCTGATCCACGAAAGCAGATCCGGCACAAGAGAGTGTTTGCAGAATTTGACCAAAGACTTGCCCCGAAGATGACGGAACACCCGCGGTTTCGACGCCCACGTCGACCAAGACTAGATCCGTGAACGAAGGAAAACGGTCCGTGGTTTCGAGCATGTTCCTCGTCAATTGGATTCCAGTGGTTTTGGGAGTTCCCAGGATGTTCCATGATTTTTTCTTAATTTCAGTTGGGTAACGGCCAGAAATCCTTCGGCCTCCTGGGTTGTGCACTCCTGACCGGGAGGCCCCAGAGGCCGCACTACTCAGCTGGCCTGTTCACCAGCTGCAACCATTTGGGGCATGGGACATATGACCGACCATCATGGTGAGTCCTTTGATCCAAGGTCGGTACTTGGACCCCTCCCTTCCCTCAACCACACCCTCTTGGCCAGTTGGCGTTCAACCCTGCCAGGTGAAGGCCTGTCAATCCTCCCTTCATTGGCCGAGCGCCTTGCTGTTCCCACCTTCGGATGTGGACGCACGAGCGGTGGACGCAACCTGGACGTCGGCGACCCTGACGGCGACCTGCGCGGGTGGAGGTCCTTGGAGGTGGGCGAGGGCATGGTTTGACAGCGTGGGGCACAAGTGTGTGGAGCCGAATGTCATGAGCTATGGCGCTGCTTTGCGTGCCTGAGAAGGAGAGAAAAGCAGAGGCTGCAAATGATTGACATGTTATGTTCAGGGCAGTTGGGGGTTGAAGGAGATGTGTGGGTGCTTTGACCAAGTAAGGTGCATGCGAGAAAGGGCCTTGGGGACAGACCTTGCTGCTGATGCGCCAGCAGATGGACGCTCATGTGAGCCCAACGGTTATCTCCTTGGGTGCGGCCCTGGGTGCTGGGAAGTTCAACTGGGACGCTTGGGAATGCTCAAAAGCGAGATTTTTCAGATGTGTCGTGTCGGACGGACCTGGATGGGCTGCTAGCGACACATCTTGTGGTACTACCAGCGGCGCAGCCTGCATGGCGACGCCATGCGACGCCATGCGACCGCGTCGCCGTGCTTCGGTCCTTCGCCCCAGTACCAATGACTAAGGACATGGCTTATGAGCTTCTCACTCTTCTCACCATCTACGAGCTGACACTTGGCCCATGAAGCTGTCCTCCCCAAAGAGTGCTGGACAGCTTGATCGTGCTGAAGCGGAGCCTCCTGATGCTGGTGACCGGCGCCGGTAAGGCGGTTGTAGTAGCGGTGAAAGTATCGGTCAGTTCGATGTTCTCAGTGCTCTTGAGGAAAGGGAACACGGTGATCTACAATTCGGCCATCCTAGCGGGACGTCAAAGCTGGAAGCATGCAAGAGGCTTGCTGAAGGACAGGCTGCAATGAGAGTCCGCATGCTACGGTAGTGGTACTGGTAGTGGTAATATAGTCAATAGTCACGTCAAAGTAGTTCAAAGTGTATCATGAAGATTCATGAAGGTATGAACCCACCCCTCATTATCCCTCATCAATCACTGATCAGAATCGGCGTCCTTCGCCCCAGTCAACTCGACGTCCTTCGCCAGCTTCCAGCTTCCGCCAGGAAATGCTTGTGCGACAGCTTCGGCCCGATCCAGTGACCCAGAGCTCCATCAGCACGGTGGAAGCCAAGCAGGGTCGATGGCGCTCAGCGACGTGGGGCCTCCGGGTCTGGAATCCGATTCAGGCGGGAGCGGAGAATGCGCCCTGGAAGGTTCACATGGAACCTATATAATAGTTATATATATATACATATATCGCTGGGTTGATACAGGAAAATGGCCTTCCCGGGTGTAGTATAGCTGGCCTTGAAAGTGGTCTTTTGTAGAGGGGAACATCCTCTAAGTGAAGAACCGATGGTAAATAAACCCTCTCTATCTGGGTGGTGGTTTCGACAATTTCTCAACGCTTTACTTCCAATGATCGATCCCACCAACCCAGCTACATTCTTAGGGCGGCTCTGGGCTCAAACACGGCACCAGGTGACCCAGCCTGGCCCACCATGGAGTCACAAGTCGTGCTGAGTTAGTGCACTAAAGTCCAGGTGGGTGCAGCATTGAGCTCCTTCCAGACGAGCAGCTGGGTGCAGGTGGAGAAGCCGGATGGGTGGAGTGAATCGGGGTGCATTCTGAAGGATGTTCAGGATCTGGCTTTGGGGGGAAGACGGCTGCCGGGAAGACCCCTGTGACGTCTTGCCTCTCCGAAGAAGGCTTTCTCCACTTTGATGTTTGTCAGAAGTGATCGGCAGTTTGCCATGATGACTGACTGGCCATGCTTCATTTCAAAGCCTAGTCTAGCCGCTAGCCCAATTGGTTAAACAGTAAGAATTCACGATGTGATATCAGTTGACTTAAGTGACTTGAGTTCCGTTTGGCATGCATATCATGCATCCAGGCGCCGAAGTAGAGGGTAAAAGTTCTTTGGTACAATTTGAGGACATCAATAAATCCGCGCTGACCTACCTGCAACCTCACCACCCGTGACATCCCAAATGAGTTTTTGGGCCAGACTGCCAGACTGACGTTTTCGCTAAGCCTGTGTGGCTGGGTTCACACCCCGCAGGCTCTGGGACTTTGTGAGCACGTGCAGCAGAGTGGAGGCCGAAAAACACCGGAAAAACAGAGTGAGCACGTGCACTTGCCGCACACTTGCCGGCTGGCGTCCTACCTTTTTTTGAAAACCTGCCTCAGCTGAGAAAGACATCATTTCAAACAGTTTACACTCCCTGGAACAATCAGGTAAGTGGAAAATGGCTCCTTGGACATTGGATGACCATTTTCCTCTAGAAACAGCTGGTTTTCCACTGCCATGATTATTTCAGGGGGTGTAAGCACTCTGAGAAGAGGACGCTTGGATGAGATTTCCTCCAACTCGATGGCCACAGCGTGCGAGCGCCAATCCCTATGGTGGGCAGCAGTGGTGTGGTTGGACGGACGAGGCGAGAGGTGGTTGGACAAAACCTGGGCCGGCAGATATATCGCTACTAGTAGAGTCCTTGCTCTTAGTAGCGATGCCAGGAGCTACTAGTAGCGTCCTTGCTCCTCGTAGCAATGCCAGGAG